GAATGTTATTTCTAACTTTACTAATCTTTATCGAAATTGAATCCAAGTACCTGTCTTCTTATTAATACTATAAGATTATTATGCTAATAGTATCAAATCAAGGCGATAGTATGTGCACAAAATTCAAAAACATGGAAAAAATTATATCATGCCACTGCCCACATGATCAAAATTGAGTGATATTCGCGCAGCAAACTCATCGGAAACCTGTAGTGTTACTTGGTAGAAATTCGGAAGTAGGGTAGACGCAAGTATACTTGGTACATGTATCAAATAATTCGGTTTAAGTAAAAAAGAGTAATGGAAGTCATTGGTAACAATGCTTATGCTTTCGAGACTAAAACGCGAGCTTTATAATAGAAATTCTCGTGAAAAAGTTTTGAGTTCTCGCAGAGGAACATTTTGTAAGTATTAGGGGTATTTTGAGTACAATCATTGTTAGCTTGCTACGGGACCGGTCTGGGTTAGATTTTCGTCTGATGTAATAATATACTTTTTAAATGAGGTAAATACTTGGTCACATTTATCTATTTAGTATTACCTATCTACTTACTAGTTCGTCTAGATGTTGAAGCCGTTGCCTAGGTGGGGGGATTGGAGTGTCTTCGTAGAACACCATATAAATGTTTTTAGTTGGGGGCGGACACGTGGGGGTACAGAAGGTGGAACTGAAAATTAAAAATGAGGTAACAGTAATTGTGTAAGAGTTAGCTATTGAGAAGTGGAGGGGAATGATGATGACCTCTAGAACACTAAAAAACGTGTTCTTAGACGGTAGTGGGAGTAGAGTAGATGGTTAAAATATGTGAGAACTGGGTTTTTCTTAGGCTCCTGTAAACAAAACATGACCGTGACAACACAGTCGAAGTGAGTATTCCTACCGTAACCTAATCAAATAAAAGCTATTAAATTCAATGACTTTAATTAAAGATGCTTTTGATTGCTTAGGATCATACGGTTATGGTAGAAAAAGATAACACGTGTCTGCTCCCAAAGATCCCTCAAATTACCACGACTAATTTTTAAAAAATAGATGTTTCACCCAGTATAGGTGTGGGTGCTATATACGCAAGACAGTTATTTACGCGCCCTATATTATCTTAATTTCATTTAATGACTAATTAAACTAGAATAAAAACAATAAGCGTTTACCAAGTGACTTAAATTTTATTGATCATTAAATTTGTGAATACGAAGCACGTAATGAAGTATCTTTATTTATCTTTTTAATTCTAAATTAGAATTAAGTTAAAATTTAAAGGATAAAAATAATTAGCGGAAACCTACGTGACAGATTTTATTTATCACTCATACACATAGCTAAACCTATATTTACAATATTCACATTCAGATGATCTAATTAGAAACCCAAGAACGTTCATAAAGAGACCCGTATATTAATCGCGTTTATAAAAAGGAATACCACATACTACAATTTGTTCAAACAATAAGATCTTAGTAATCGGTAACAGCAACAAAATTTAATTACAACTGACACCCAACAATGAAAACAAACATGCTACCCACTTCTAAGATCTTATCCGATCAGCGATAGTAAATATTAAGCGCATTTTTTTTTTCTTTTAGAGCAATGCAGAATGGGAAACTTGCTGCAAAAGAACGATATACTTAACTTACAATTTATATCCGATCACAGATTCCGATTCATTTTTATTATTATTTCTTTTTTCTTACTTTCTATCGTCTTTGAAAAAAAAAACAGAAATTTACTGCAAGGAAGATACCTAAACTGCATTGCTGGGTTCGCTAAATTGAATTGCGAATTAACAGCCTTAAGTTTGGTTTATTATTTTTAATTAATAAAATAACAGAGCTAATACAAAATGTACAATAATATGAGTTTCACCATTACCTGCACTTACAACTGTTAATTCATTATTTTGTAGTTTTACAGAGAAGTAGGAATGTGACTTACAATTTCTAAATTTGCACCATTGATTCTATTACTTTCAGAACTGGAGTAACGTCTTTATTTAACTTAACTGAAACCAATGTCGCATAAAATTTACAGAAATTTTACATATAAATTAAATGTCAGCTCTTTAAGTGTTTTCAGGACCAAGGCGTTACTCTAGATTCTTTCAAATTTTATTTTAATCTCCACAATATTTATTAACAAAGACAAAGGGAGAAAGAGAGTGAGAGAGCTGATATCAATTATTTGTGTTCTTTAATGTTTTTATTTCCAATTTGTTATTTTTTTTCAAGTTTTTTTTACTTCCACTAGTACTTTCACGTAAAGCACAGTATAAGCTAAAAATAAATGTTTTGTGAAATTTTACTTACGAAAAACAAACCTTGCCTCAACCTTTGGATGCAAACAAAAAATTAAAAAATAGAGTTTTGTTTTTCCCAATGTTAAAATTTTAATTTTTATTTTACGCCAAAGAAAGTTCTCCTTAAAGTTCGTTAAATCTATTGTGTTATATGTAATCGACAAAACCGTTATTAACAAACTCATAAATTAACTACATCTCACGAATCTAAAATACTAAGATGCAGATTTTGATATTAAAAATAAAAAAAGAAACAATACTGATTCTATGGAACAAAAACAAAATGTCACCCAGAAAATGATTGTTAGAAATATTTACATTTATAAATACAATATTTCGGGATAAATTAGGTTTTATGTACTCAGAAAAGATAAGGAAGTGACTAGAAAATAAAGAATAGCTTAATAATGCCGTAAGACAACATTTATGAAATGAAAAAAAAAACGAAACAAATTTTTCCCCAAAATAATGATAGAAAAGAAACATACACAACACCAGATTTGTCTTATTTTCATCTTCGGAAAACGAAATTTAAATACCGTTAACCTTTTTCAGATGTATAAAATATTGTCTTAAAACACGTTTCTAAATTTTTGCGACTAAGTACACGGAAAACAAAGTAGTTCAGAAACTTTTCAGAGAACTTTCTTACACAGAAAATGTGTATCGAAATATATGGATAGCTGAATTTATATAAAACATCATTAAGTATATTGTATATAAAAAAAAAATATAGAACGACTTAGTTAAAAATTCCTTTTCTTTTCAATGAAAATACAATTTCATAACCATCATATAAAATACTTAATAAATTAAGATCATGTTAAAAATACATTTCTTTACAGTTCATTCTAAAAATGTAAGTACATTTCACAAAAACATTTTCATTTATAAAATGAAACAATTTACTAATTAATTGAACAGCCTCATGAATCTTACAACTAATATTTCATTGTTTAATTACATAGTTTTATTTTACACGAAAATAAGTTACAAAGGTTTTCAAGTTAAGTTACTTTACACGGCTTATCATGGATGCAATTTTCGACAATGCCTGATGATTTTTACATTTTGTTTTTTTTTTCTTTTTTTTTTTAAGTAGATATGAGCTATATGACTTTTCCTTTATAGATGTTACACACAGTATATTATTTTAGATTATTTGGTTACTCCTCAAAAATATTTTGTATAAAAACCAACGTATTAATGTACTACCTATTGAAGATGAAAAATAAAACCTTAATGAAAATAAAAATCATTTTACTGTCGTATGAAATTATTATCTTAAATGTTGTAACTAAATCCAGTAAATTGTTTGGTGTACTTTTGGTCAATCAAAAATTTTGGCTACAGTATTACAAGAGATTGAAACATATTCTTATCACAAATTCTATCTGCACGTGTTGAAGCTAATAAATATTGGAATAACTGAAATAAGAAAAAGTTTATTTTTTAGAAAGGCTCTTTACGAAGTCGTCACGTTTAAGTAAAGGTGCTATTTTATATATATATATGTATATATAAAAATTTTATGTAATGTTTTATGTATTAGTAGTAAAAGTAAATGATATTACTGTGTTCCATCGCAACTGAATGAAACTACAACTAAAAATCCCTATTTGATAATACTACATGACGATGTAATTATCACAAAAATTTACAATAAAACGTTTTCCATTTCGCGTTGACTTACTTGCATATTATTAGATCATTACTAATATTTCTTCACTAGCAAACAAAAACATTAATTGCATACAAATATTTCGTTCAATTGTTAAAATAAGTTATTTAATAAACATAGAGGGTGTAGTAACAATGAAAAATTATTCAAAATGGCTCTGAACTCTATTAATCGGTGAGTAATTGTAAACATTTCCCTATTACCTATTTAACAGCTGGAAAAAACACTCGTTCTGTTTTTCTTTTTATACACAACAGGAGATAACAAGCACGAAACATGTTCGTCTGATGTTCGCAGTTATTTTATTCAATTGTTATCATTTTCTTAAGATTTTTCTTGGCCTTACAATAAGCTCGTCAGAAAGAAAGCCACGTAAATGACATTAGTTTGTGCAAATGCAAAAATCAAACAGGCATTTCATACTCTTGGCAACAACAGCAGCGTAATATTGCCACATACATCAGTGGCAAAGATACAACATAAACGACGACCGAAATTCCTGCGCAAGTGCACAGGTTGAGTGTCGTACATCACGTTACTTCCATAACGAAATTGTTTTTCTGAACGATGCTTTTACTTTTGTTATTTGCAGGTTTCGAAGTTGAGTCGCCATACTGCGAGTTCAATTTGGCGGGAAGTTTTTCCGTTTCGTTTGACAGCGGGATTTCCAATACATTGGCACTGTAAGCAACTATTCATCAGTTTGTGTATAAATACTTCATTTCTTTATTTTTTCGGTATTTTACAAGTTCTATAGTTCAGCTCCTTCTTAAACTGTTTTCGTAGGAGGAAAGTTATTTCACGCGAATACTAGAATGGTTGAGGACACTATTTTTTGAATAATGCTAATGTGGATAGCTCATACAGGGTTTCTTATCATAGTTAAATTCATTGCAGTAGAGGGTTGTGTCAGTTGCATGTCTCTCCCTCTGACACATCACAGTATGTATTACATTTTATGCCTTAAAAATGTCTTACTGCAATGTTGGTTTATTTACTAGTGTTGCTACAGTCAGTGTTTGAAGAATGCTTCTTCTGAATGAAAAATTAGTCACTGTAATGTTTAATTTTAGGAAGTGTTACCAAGTAGAACTCATTCATATGAACTAACATTTCGGCAACTGTCAGAAAGTAATTAGATGCAAATACCTTTAATATAGTCTTTGATTTGTGTAATAAATTGTGAATTAAACGTTATTAGAAATAAAATGAAGTGAACAATGTAAAATTGGTTGCCAGCTCTCAGTTAGTCGCAACCCTCAAGTATAAACAAGTATGTTTTGGTTGCTTGTAAAAAAAATGGTCGCAAGTACTGGTTGCCATTATTTTAATTTATTACTCTAACTTGGATGATTGCAAGCGAGAAAGAAGGAATGAGCACATCGCTTAATGTTTTACATTATTTTTTTATTCACAACTTCTTATGAGGTGCCTGTTAATTACGTTAACTGTTAACTATATACACAATATCGAGAACTAAACCATATATTTTTCCTCCGATATGTTTAAAACATGAGCGTAACGTAATATGCTCAGTTAATTGCCGAATAAGCTTTGAATATAAAATTATTTAATGTTGATAAGTTAATTTACAAGTTATATATAAATAATCTATTATAAATAATAAACTTACCTATGACTATTAAGCGTATTGTGAGTATGTGTAGAGGTGCGTACACTCAATTGATTTGGAGAAGCTGATGATCCTTCACCACTTATATAAGCGTATGGTTGTAGTTTATTTAATTTCATTTTATCACTAGTAGATGCTACAAAAATACACAATTGTATTATACACTTATTTATTAAAAATAACCAGTATGTAAAAGGCTAATAAGAAATTCTCTTTTTACTCCAAAATAACAATATATGCTTTTTTCATCACGTTGTTGTCTAAATTTTGTTAAAAGAAGTTAAATGTATTTAAAACCATATACAGTAAAATCTCCCTTAACGGACACCGCTCGTCAGCGGATACCTTTTTTTAATGGAATAGTACAGAGCAAGACCTCTACTCAACTCTTCAACGGACGCGGATGGTTCAAATGCAGAAAACTGATTAATAAGAAATCATTCCCGGAGTCAACTCCCCAGTATAATAGCCAATATAGCAGACTAAATATTCTGTGATTAGATAAACAGGTTGATAGTGTGTTAAACTGTAAGTTACATACATACAATTTGGTAATTTCAAAGCATTTGTGGATTAATATGGTACCTACATGCAATGTTTTAACTTTAAAAAAAAAATCGACTTATCAGAAAGAAAAGCTGAGTGCCAGTAAATTATCAAAAAAGATTAACATCACTAACGAAAGGCACCGTTAGAATGGTGATTAAGTTAGGTTGGATTGGGTTGGGAAGGTGATGTAGTAATCGAGGGAAGAAATATTGATAGATTATGTAACGAATGGTTCACTGCAGCAAGAAGTAAAGTTATACCAGTCACAGGTAGCATACACAGATAGTACATATCTTTAGTAAACATATTTAGGTTAAATAATGTTTCTTTTTTGTCCTAAGCGGACAATTATTGTTAATCCCATCCCACGAGTGTCCACTGAAGGGAAATTTCACCATACAGTATGATTATAAGGGTTCGGATAAGGTCTAGGTCATAGACATATATTAATGGACGTGCCTTAGCCGTATGCCATTGTAATAATCATAGATAATAGATACACAAAGGGTAATAATTTCTTGGCTCGAAAAGTACCATACTTTTGATCGCTAAGGCATGCCATTAGTAAACGTCGATGGTCTAGGTTATCTTTAATCTATGGTTATGTTCATTGACTAGTGTTACATAATACCATCGATGCATAATACAATCATAAATTTTCTTATCTATTGTTATGTTTATGGTTATGTTGTATTACTGTACGCATTTAGTATTTTAAAATTTTAGGTACTGATGAGCCGTACCGACATTTCAATATTGTTTATATTCTCTTTTTTCCTTATAATAAACAATTAAGTAATTTATATTTGTGAATGTTGTAAGAAGACAAAAATGACTAATCCGATTATGGCTAATATATTTTCTTCTTTTCGTGATTATTTATCTTCAGAACAAGACACACGAGAGGTACGAAAATACAAAATACGTTTAAAATACGTCGATTCTATAATTATCTGTTTTAGGAAATTCGGGTTGTAGTAAAAGAAATAGATAAATGTACAATAGAAATCTTAACGGTATTACAAATTATCCATCAAGACACTGCTTCAACTGATAGTAAATTTATATTTTATGCATTAAACGAATTTATATAACTTGTAACATTGCAGTTATTCATGCATGTATGAAAGCAAGAGGGTTATTTGAGGAAATTCGAAAAAACTTTTCAAAATTAGCAATGATAGTACCAAAAGGAGAGTATTATAGATATAATGATCATTGGAGATTCGTTACTCAGAGACTTTGCTTTTTAGCTGCTCTTATTATATTTTTGGAAGTTGGAGTACTTATATCAAAGGACACAGCTGCAGAAATTATAGGAGGTTAATATTTTAAATTATTTTTGTTCTTTGTTTCATAGAATATTAGTAAAGTTAAACTTTGTTTTCAGTTAAATCCGATGCAAATGAGGGGTTTCATTTAGATTTAGAGGATTATCTGATTGGTTTATTACAACTTGCATCAGAGCTTTCACGGTTTGCTGTAAATGCTGTAACAAAAGGAGATTATAATAGACCTTTACAGATTTCAAAATTTGTGACTGAACTCAATGCAGGTTTCAGACTGTTAAACATGAAAAATGATTCATTAAGAAAAAGGTTTGATGCTTTGAAGTATGATGTAAAAAAAATTGAGGAAGTTGTGTATGATTTAAGCATTAGAGGACTAAAACCTGGTCAACTAGTACCTGATGATAGTAAACAGGAAATAAAGGAAAACTAGTTATTTTTTAGAAAGTAAGCATATGAACTTGTCACTGACTTGCAGTTTTTAATAATTTAATATAAGATTTATAACATTTTTATGTACAAGAATTATTTTCCTTTTAATTAATAAATTTTCAAGATAATTACAAGTTGTTTTGTTATGTCAATTTTTAATAATTATATAAAAATAAGTGGAATGTTATTTCTAACTTTACTAATCTTTATCGAAATTGAATCCAAGTACCTGTCTTCTTATTAATACTATAAGATTATTATGCTAATAGTATCAAATCAAGGCGATAGTATGTGCACAAAATTCAAAAACATGGAAAAAATTATATCATGCCACTGCCCACATGATCAAAATTGAGTGATATTCGCGCAGCAAACTCATCGGAAACCTGTAGTGTTACTTGGTAGAAATTCGGAAGTAGGGTAGACGCAAGTATACTTGGTACATGTATCAAATAATTCGGTTTAAGTAAAAAAGAGTAATGGAAGTCATTGGTAACAATGCTTATGCTTTCGAGACTAAAACGCGAGCTTTATAATAGAAATTCTCGTGAAAAAGTTTTGAGTTCTCGCAGAGGAACATTTTGTAAGTATTAGGGGTATTTTGAGTACAATCATTGTTAGCTTGCTACGGGACCGGTCTGGGTTAGATTTTCGTCTGATGTAATAATATACTTTTTAAATGAGGTAAATACTTGGTCACATTTATCTATTTAGTATTACCTATCTACTTACTAGTTCGTCTAGATGTTGAAGCCGTTGCCTAGGTGGGGGGATTGGAGTGTCTTCGTAGAACACCATATAAATGTTTTTAGTTGGGGGCGGACACGTGGGGGTACAGAAGGTGGAACTGAAAATTAAAAATGAGGTAACAGTAATTGTGTAAGAGTTAGCTATTGAGAAGTGGAGGGGAATGATGATGACCTCTAGAACACTAAAAAACGTGTTCTTAGACGGTAGTGGGAGTAGAGTAGATGGTTAAAATATGTGAGAACTGGGTTTTTCTTAGGCTCCTGTAAACAAAACATGACCGTGACAACACAGTCGAAGTGAGTATTCCTACCGTAACCTAATCAAATAAAAGCTATTAAATTCAATGACTTTAATTAAAGATGCTTTTGATTGCTTAGGATCATACGGTTATGGTAGAAAAAGATAACA